CAGACGAAGACCCCTGCAACAATGGATGAATGGCTGGCGATGTAGCCTGGAATATACACACATGCGCTGTGCTGACCGCAACTTAAAAAGTGCGGGGAATGTACCTCTCTGTAAACAGAACGGTAATGGTGAGCCTGCTCGTGTGCTGCCTCGCTCTTTCTGCTATTGGGGCTGTGGGGCAGTGATCCCCAAAGAGCCTCAGATGAGTGCCCATTGCCGCCGCTCTGCGGTTGAGCGAAGGCCTGGCCACAGCGCAACAATTATCTGTCCCTCTTTGCTCTGCATTGTTTGCCACTGCTTCGCTGGAAAGCATCCGGCTCTCACCCTGGTGAGCTTGCGCCCAAGTGCGCTCCAGGGTTCCCTGTCCAGCGCACCTGGTCAGGGGCCCTCCCGGGGCAATGCGCCACCAGCGCCCCAAACCAGAAACTGCAATCCCCACCAGGGACCAAGGATGGGCCTGCAAGCCCCACCATGTGCATAAGTAGTTCTCTTCGCCAGAAGCCCCACGAGGGAAGGCGGGCGGGAGAACAGACGTGCACTGACTCCGCGCTCTCAACGGACAGACGCTCTTCCCGCCTCACCTCTGGCACCCGCCGGCCGGCACGGGGACGTGCCCTGCCCCCGGCGGAAGTGGCAGACCAGACAGACAGACTGACAGAGAGACTGCCAGACAGGCCGAGAGACAGATAAGTAGAACAGACAGCACGGACCGACGAGAGCGACGGCGACGACCGACAGGCACGCCCAGACCGAAGACAGACGACCGCAACGCCTTGGAAACGTGACTCCCCGCTCCTGCGGCGCAAACAGGATACGGCCCCTCCGAGACCAGGAGTGGCACAAGTGGACCACGAACAGTGCGTCCGTCAGATCCCCCCGCCCCCCAAACTTGCACTTCGGGATGGGGAAACGAGATCGACAACTGGCAGGCGCGCCAGCCCACCCGGCCGAACAACGCGGCCCACCCCTGGCAAAAGCCGCCGACCGCGAGCGCGCAGACACGGGCCCGCTGCATACTCGCTGGCACGCGGAGGCCCAAACTCGTCAGGTCGGGCCCGCCCGGCTCGCCCCACCCCGCCACGCGGGCCCGCGCGCCTGCGAGCAAGTCTTAGGTCGGGCGTGTCCCCCTACAGGCGGACTTGGGAAGGGAAAAGAAAGTAGCCGAAACATGTTCAACAAAAAGCAAATGAGAATCGAAACATCGTCACCTGATGATGTATTATCATGTTTGAGCATGTTTGGAATATGTTCTTGAGTATTTCAATCTTCCGCCCAAAATCAACTGTAGGGGGACAGGCCCGACCTCGTGTTAGGTCGGGCATGTCCCCCTTCAGGGGGGTTTTGGACGAACAAAAAAAAACAACAACAAAAAACACCCCGAACATGCGCAAACATATTGGCAGATTGTCAAAAAATCGCCCCCCAGAGTATTCCTCCTGTAGAGGGACAGGCCCGACTCAAGGGAAGTGAGAAGGAGCGGGCCTTCTCAGAAGGCTCGGAAGTCCCTTTGGCCCTCTGAGAAGTGTTCGAAACCTTCCTCGAGGGCAGAAGCAACTTCTCAGAAGGCGCGGAGGCTTCTGCGAAGTCCCGCCGCCTTCTGAGAAGACCTCCTCCTCCTCATGCCCCCCCCCCTCGCTCGCCGCCGAGCCTTGCTCTGGAAGAAGGAACAACGACATAAACATAGACTCTTGGCGCTCCGCGCCGCTTCTCGGATCGGCTGGACCCCCCTCCCTGGCGCGAGCAGCGCGCCAGGGGCCGCGCCGGAGGCGCCGCCAGGGGGGTCCAGCGCGGACCCGAGAAATCCGCGCGGACCTCCGAGTTTCTATGTAAATGTCATTCTTCGCCCCCCTAACTTTAAGTCGGGCGTGTCCGCCTACAGGGGGATGTTGAGCGAAAAATGAAACATACTAAACAAATGCCCCCCAAATGCCCAAACATTTTTGGAAAAAATGATCCCCCGATTATTTTTTTGACTATTTTTGAATTTCCCCCCTGTAGAGGGACAGGCCCGACTGAACCAAACTTGCACCCGCTCTCGCGCCTTGCTCGTCCGCCGACGGGCTCGGGCCGGTGCTGCGCACGAGAGATGCCCCAAGCAGTTTACCTAGGGGACCGCATGCGAACCCCACCCCTACCCCCCACGATTTCTGAGGGGGAGGGGTAGGTTTCGCATGTGGCCCCCTACTAGCGCTGCGCTGGACACTGGCAGGGAAGCACGCGAGCGCAGACCGGCACCATGCCACGCCGCCGGCAGGGTGTTTCTTGGCATGGGCCTCGACCGTACCACCATGTGGGCCTGAGCTCGCACATGGTAACTGTCAAGGCAAGACACCTACTGTACACACCCTCTGATGCCCAAATGGAACAGGATTTCCCAGCGGCTGGCGATGGAGAAGTTACGGTGGAGGCCAGTCCACAAGAAACCTTCCTCAAGAACCCCAACCCTGAGACCCCAGGACGTCCGTTGATTTCTGGTGTGGGAACGTCGCGCCTGCCACAGCAAAACCATCGAAACCCAAGGCACCCAGGGCACCCGGGAGGCAAGCAGGGTGTTTCTTGGCATGGGCCTCCACTGTACCACCATGTGGGCCTGAACCCGCACGTGACAACTGTCACGGCAAGACATCTACTATACACTCCCCTTGATGCCCAAGTGGGGCAATATTCCCCAGCGGCTGGCGATTGAAAAGCGTATGCCGAGTGCCGCGAGGCCTCTATAGAAGTTTCAACTGGCTGCGCTGCCTGGTCCCACCCAGGATTTTGTCAATCACCACTCCTACAAACAAACCATGTTCGTTAGATCTCTTTTCCTGCTCCACTCTGGTATTTGGATTCCAGCTGGATTTGTCCTTTCCTTCTCGTTTGCTTATCCTGGGACGTCCCACCAATCCTCTGGGCTTCGATGGATTATCGAGTTCGTTCTTCCAACCCCCGTCTTCCCCTTCGGGAAGCGGCTGTACCCCTTGCCGAGTTCGTTCTTCCAAGCCCCGTCTTCTCCTTCGGGAAGCAGCTGCACCCCTCCCCCCACCCCACGCCGAGTACCTCCCTCCTCCCGCCCAGCGAAATCTCCTGGGGGTCTCTTAGGGGTCTCTTGGCAGCCTCCGGGAGGCCTCCTGGAGGGCTCCTGGGGCAATGTTTGGTGCCAGCCACCTTTGCCTCCCACTACCTTCTCACGACTTGGAAATCTCCTGGGAGCCTCGTGGGGTCCTCTCGTGGCTCTCTTGGGGGCCCCCGGAAAAGTGTCGAAAGAGTGTCGAAAGAGTGTCGAAACGAGTGTCCCCCAGGACCCGACGCATGAAAACCCTGGAGTTTAGGTACTTTTTTCTGGCGCTCGAAATTCTTTCTGGCGGTCAAAGCTAAAGTAGGTTGGAACATCATAACCCGAGCCTCAGGAGCCCTTCGGGAGCGACGAGGCGACGAGGCAAAACGTACCGAATCCCAGCGCGCGCTCGGAAGCTCAGGCCGCCGGGGGCGGGGGGGGGGGTGGACCATCTTGGGCCGACCTGGAGTCTGCCCTGGCGGGTCTTGGCAAGTCTCGTCTCGGCCTGCCGACGTTTCGTCCTGACTCGTCTCGTGTGGCCGTTCTGCCTCGTCTTGGTGGCGTCTTCGGCCGTCTTGGAGGGAGGGCCGGCGACTCTGAGGGGGCGGGGTTCGCATTGGGTGCGGCTTGCAGCGCGCACCCTGGGGAGCGGGCGAGATCCTCGACGGAGCTCTCCGCCGGGCCCCGAGGAGGTCCGACGAGGGCAGCGTGGTGCCCCCCAGGCCACAGCGACGCAGAGCGCAGACCACACAACCTGGCGTAACCTTCGGTCGGCATGTCCTCCTTCAGGCGAGAATGCTTCAAACAACAATCAAACATTGTGAAAAAGAAACAAAACATCGTCCCAATAGTTCTTCTCAGAAAAAAACAAAACATGTTTGACTACAGTGCGGGCTCGGCGGCAAGAAACCCTCGCAAGAAACCCAACCCTGAAAACCCGCGCGCGAGGTGCAAGTGAGGGGAAACCTGGAGCACCCCGAACGTAACAGCTCCTTCAACGGCCGCGGGAAGTCACCGCGTATCGCGCGAAGCGAAGAAACCCAGGGTACCCCGACGAAAAGTAGATGGTTTCTTGATGCGCGCCCCCACTGTATCCCTCCTGTACAGGGACAGGCCCGACTCAAGGGAAGTGAGAAGGAGCGGGCCTTGTCAGAAGGCTCGGAAGTCCCTTGGCCCTCTGAGAAGTTTTCGAAGCCTCCCTCGAGGGCAGAAACCACTTCTCAGAAGGCGCGGAGGCTCCTGCGAAGTCCCGCCGCCTTCTGAGAAGACCTCCTCCTCCTCATGCCCCCCCCCTCGCTCGCCGCCGAGCCCTGCCCTGGAAGCGGGCCAGGCTCGACCCTGGCGTCACCCCCCACCCTCTGTGGTCGCCGAGGGGGGGCGCGCCAGCTCCAGGAGGGACCCCCCCTGGGTCGACGGGCGGGGGCCGCCCGCCTTGTGGGGGGGCACGGTCGGCGGCCGAGGCGTCGGGATCGGGCGGGCGGTGAAGTGACCTGGAGCGGTACACGGAAGGGCCCCCAGGACACGCAAATAGATGCACACACATGAGAGGATTCCCAAATGTTTTCCCATATGTTATGGGTTTCTGTCTTCCCCCCACTTCCCATAGTTTCCCATATGTTCTGGGGGATCGGCGATGAATTGTGTCTGTGTGTGTTCTTCCCTCCTGATACACGTCGGTCGGAAAAAGTAGGTGGAAACGTGGAGTAGGAAGGCGGATCGAGTGCATTGGGTTCAGGCCCTCCCAGGAGAAGAACAGAACACAACCAAACCAGACCGATTCTTGAAGTGGGAAGGCGCTTGAAGCAGATTTGGCTCTGGGAATCCAAACATACCTACTTTCAACGACGGATCGGTAGGGGGGCACGGTCGGCAGCCGAGGTGTCAGAATCGGGCGGTCGGCACAGCGACCTACATGGTAAGCGTTTTCGTATTCGGCGTTTGGACATTGGGCCCAGGGGGGGAGGGGGCAGCGAGGGGGGCGGGGGGAAGGGCGGCAAGACCCGCGCTGATCGGCAAAACAGTGAATCCGAAAACGATCACATGGGCCACCCCCCATTATCACCCGCCCAACATAACAAGGGCTCCCAACTTCGCGCTTCGCGCTGCGCGAAGTGCAAAAACCTTCGCGCTCTCCGGCCGCCTCCCAGGGGAGAAGAGGAGGATGAGGAGGGCTCGGAGCCGAGCCGCGAAGCGCGAATAACTTCGCGCCCTCGAGGGCGCCCTGGCATAAGGTCTTCCACCCCTCTGCCCTTCCGGCTTCACAGCGCTCGAAGGCGGCCTGAGCGGCCGCCGAGATCGCCTCCAGACGCGCCTCCGACGCCCCCCCAGCAGGTGCCCATACAGCCCCCGGGGGCCCCGAGGCGACTCACGAGGCCTCTGGGGCCTCTTGAGCCCCAGGGGGGAGGCACCCGCGAGCGGGTGTTACTTTGCATCTTGGGGGGGCCTGTCCTGTCCCGTAAACGGCAGCCTCCTCTTGCACCCCGCCGTGGGTTCGACGAGGACCTCGACGTGGATTCGCCACGGGTTCGCCGCGCTCGACACGAAATCGACACGGGTTCGACGTGGATCGCGGCGCAACGGGGACAGGCGAGGCCCTTTGAAGATGCCACACAGCGGGTGGCACGAGGGGGGCGGGCCTCTGATGAGGCGGGAGGCTTCAGAAGTCGACGACCGCGTTCCACTACTCGCAGAAAGTAGCTACTCGCACATGGCCCGGATCCGCCGCGGGGGATCTGCGATACATTGCACAGAAGCAGACATGTGCCTCTCGGACCTTTGCAAGTAGGCACTTTGCAAGGGCTCCCGACTTCGCGCTTCGCGCCGCGCGCAGCGCGAAATGCGAATAACGTCGCGCTCTCGCGCCGCCTCCCAGGGGAGAAGAGGAGGATGAGGAGGGCTCGGAGCCGAGCCGCGAAGCGCGAACAACTCCGCGCCCTCGAGGGCGCCCTTGCTTTGCGAGCAGCGGGACGCGCTCGGTGACGAAGGCAGGGGCCGTCCTTGGAGAGGCCCGGCGGCCTCTGACAGCGCTCCACTGGAGGCCGGGAGGACCTGCAGGGGGCCGCCTGCCTTCTTGAACGACCGCGTAGGAAACGACGAACCACGCTTTCCTGCAATCGGGTCGGCCACGAACCACCCCCACCTGCAATGGCGAAGCCTGCGTCGCCGTAGCCTACATCGCCGTTGGCGTGTCAACGGCCCCCCCCCTCCCTTCTTGGACGGCCGCTCCTCTCTCGTTATCCCGCCGTTGTGCGCGCCGCCATCACTTCGTGCGCAAGACGGCTCCAAAGGGGGCCTCCAGTATGGCACAGGCTGGCCTCCAGTATGGCACAAGATGGCTCAAGATGGATTCTGCAACGCATCCCAGAGGCTCCAGGAACGCGTGGACGCCCCCCCCCGTTTCATTAGAAAGGCGGCTAACATAGATTGGGATTCGGGCATTCAAAAATGCCTACTATCAACGACCGGCGTGTGCGGCACAAGATGGCTCAAGATGGATTATGTGACGCTTCCCAGAGATGCCCTTAGAGCGCCCTGTGACGGCTCCGAGTGGCCACACGGCCCCCCCTGAGGAGGACCCCGGGAGGCCAGATCGATCGACGGGATAAAATGCCGCTCAGTATGGTTTGACTTCTCGCTCTGTCGCGTCCAATGGGTTGATGAGGCCTAGGAAGCCAAAAGAGGAGGGCTTGAACGGTTCCAAGACGGCCTCAATAGCGCCCAATAACGCCACGCGATAGCTCCAACGGGCGACCTTTCAGGCTCAGACGCAGCGGGGCTAATTGGGACCCCCTCCTCCGCTCCACGCCAGTATCCTTGAGCACTTTTTGAGCTTTTTACCAGGAACATAGTCGGGAGGCTTTTGGGCCAAGATTGCTCCAAACTGTCCCTGGGCGTCTTCAAATTACCTATAATGTAGGATGACGATTCATAAATGACCCGGGGTCGTGTTGCGTCGGCGGCGCCCCGGAGGATGATTTGAAAAAACCGGCCGCGAGCTGGGAAACTGTGTTCAATCGTTCCCCCCCTGCCGTCCTCGGGCGCGCCCGGACAGCCGTCGACGTGGATCGTATTTGACGTAACATTTGAATCCGATGTCATATGAGCAGAAGACATAATGTCTGAAGCCGATGTGGAACGAGAATTTGGCGTAAAACTTTGAAGCCGACGTAGAATTGGCATTTGACGTAAATTTGAAGTCGTCGTCAAATTATTACGTAACGTAGAATTTGACGACGACGTGAAATGCGTATTCGACGCAATATTTGAAGCCGACCTGTAGTATACATATATTTTAATCGTCCTCCTCCCGTTGAAAAATCATTTAGAACTCAGAGAAACTATATTTTAATCGTCCCCCCTATGTTTTTATGAACCGCCACCCTGCATTCAGACCGTGCAACATTGTGCAAGTCGACTCGATGGTGCCTTCAGCATGGATCCAGGAGCCCAAAGACGGCTCAGATACGAGACCCCCAGGGAAGCCCAAGAGCACCACGTCAGCTGCCTCCGCCGCGACCGCCGCTCCCGAGCGCTTGACGATCTTCAGGAAGCCCTTCTTGTAGTCGTTCTCGAAGTCCTTGACCGCGCGGGCACACGCCGCGACGGCGCCAACGTTGGTTTCTGACGCCTCGTTCGAGCTTGAGCGATCGTTGCCCACCGTGGCTTCCGACAACACTCATGGTTGATATCGGCCCGTTCCGGGCCAACGGCGGCGGCACTCCTCCTCGAACGTCCTCGCCGCAGTCGCCGCCGCGTCGACACAGCACGAACCTGCTGTTGGCCTGTGGTTGGAACTAAAGGATCGGGCTGGTCGAAGGGTTTCCTGGCGCTTCCCGGTGCCGCAGTCGGTCATGTATCGAGGACTGGGCCCCTCGGTGGGGCCGAAACCAGCTGAATGCAGCAGATTTCGTAACCCCCCCTTTCCCTGTCACCTCCTTTCGCCCGGCCCGAAAGGACGAATGCCTTGCAGAGGGAACACAGCGCGGGGGGCTCTGGGATAGAAGGCAGCCCACCGCCACCACCCAGTGGGGAGGGCTGCAGCATCTGCCGGACTGAAGGATGCTCTTTCTAATTTGAGAGGGGGCCCAGGGACACACAGACAAATTAACACAAATGCCAGGGTTCCCTGTACTTTCAAATATTTTCGGGAGTCCCGTCTTTCCCTCCACTTCCCATCAAGGCTCGAGCTAAACAATGTTCCGCATTTTCGTTGTGTGGTAGGTTTCCTTCGCACTGCCTTCGCTCCCCGTTTGCCGCGAAACGGACGCAGAACGACAACGGCCCACGGCATCGCCCCAGCACCGTTAAGCTCGAGCCCTGCTTTCCCACAGCTCCCACTCTTCTCCAGGGAATCCACGGCCACCTGTGCCCGTGTGCCTTTCCTCCTCCTGGTGCCGCTGCTCTGCCCCCTGCTGCCGCTGCTCCTCCGGGTCGTCCACCCTGTGGGCCTCTTGGCGGGGTCGGGCAGGACCGAGCAGAGTGAGACTGGCTCCCACCTGGAGCTTCGGAGTGCCGCCCAGGCACGGCTCCTGCACACACGATGGGCCACATGATGCCGAAGTGACGCAAGCCACGAAGTCACCCAGGCCCGCGGCGACCAGTGTGGGACCGCCCCAGGGAAGGGGTCGGCTTGAAAACCAGGCAGGCGAGGGGGCGCGCAGGACACAGGCTGGAGGGGGGCGGGGTGCACTGCACACGCGCTCGACCTGCCACCGACGTGCCGTCCAGGCACGGTCCCTTGTCTGCCTGGTGCCTGGCAGCCGCCGGCGCCGCCATGGCGCGGGCGCGGGCCCCGGGCCCGCCGCGCTCCCCTCTCGCTCTCCCCCCTCCCCCCTTCTCCTGGCCGTCGCTCGGACGCCCGTTGGAGGCCTGGAAACGGGCACCAGCACCAGCACAGGGGGCTGCCTCCACAAGGGGGAAGATGATCCTAGATCTCGGCGTTGGTGGTGATATGTCCGGCCACCTTGGACGCCAGAGTATTACCACCATCGCCGAGATTGGGATCTTCTTCCCTCGATGGAAGCACACCGCCGATCTTGGTGTTGGTGTCAACCTCTAGGCCCATTCCAAGTGCATTGTTCGGTTCCGCTTCTGGTCTTCTGCAGGAGGACCCAGAATGCTCCTCGATGGTCCTCGCCGGGGAGAGATGCACACGCCCAAGCGATGCCAAGCCTCCCTCCTCGCCGCCCCCTCTTTCCGCCGCAGGGCAGCCTGCGCACTGGCAACGACTGAACGATGCCCTACGAGGGTTCCCAGGAAGGCGCCATCGCTCCTGACCCCACCTCCCTTCTCCCTTCGGTGGTGCCCTTCTTTCAGGGGGACGCAAGACCTGGGTACAGGGGACTCGGAACTCCCCGACGTGTTCGTCAAAAAAATGACGAGGCCGAGCCTGCATTTTGACGAGGCCTCCCGCTGCAGACATCCCACGAAACTCCTCCTCGTCAAATCCGAGGCGCGGTCGTCAAAAAACGATGGCGAACCCGAGTCCTGGCAAACCCGGGTCTTACGCTCCCCCGACACCTCTGCCCAACCTCCCATCGGTGGTGCCCTTTCTGCCCGACCTCCCATCGGTGGTGCCCTTCTTGGGGGATCTGACGAGGTGCCGATGCCGATCCTTCTGCTCCCCGGACCTCTCCCGGGGTGTGCTCTGACAAGGCTGCCGAGGCGAGTGCAGCCGTGGCGACGAGGGACCCCCAGGGGGCCTCTCGAAGAGGCGGGGACGGGGGCAGGGCATCATCGGCACCCGCGTGCTCTTCTTCTCTGGGCGAATGCAGCCGTGGCGACGAGGGACCCCCAGGGGGCCTCAAAGAGGCGGAGACGGGGGCAGGGCATCATCGGCACCCGCGTGCTCCTCTTCTCTGGTCTGTACGCCCGACACGGGTACGACAAAATAGGTACTCCAGATCTCGTAATAAAAGGGAGGGGGTCTGGACCCTCCAAGACGTGGGAGAACCCTCCAAAACATCGTCCCCAGACCCCCCCAGGCCCTCCAAGATAGCCTGGAAGAGACCCCCCCCGAAATGAGACCCCCCTCCCTTTATTACGAAATCTGGAGTAGGTACGATGCCCAACATCACATGCTGTCCAACACCGGCAGCGGCCGCTGTTGGGCAAGCGACCTTGAGTCGCAAATTGACAACGCCCGCGATGACTTCGACAACGAACCTTGTTCAAACATGGGCAAGAACTGGTGTTGGTCCTTGTGCCCACTCTTTCCGTACGCATTTCGATCGTACCGGTTCCTCCGTAGACTTAAGTCGGGCCTGTCCCCCTACAGAAGGATGTTCGACCAAAAATTAAAAATACCCCAAACATAGTCAAACAAAAATAATCCACCAATAATATGGGGACTGTTTTTTTTAATTTCTGTTGACCTTCCTGGGGCAATGGTGGGGTATCTTTTTCTCTTTCTCGTCGAAAATCCCCCTGAAGGGGGGCACGCCCGACTTGACCGTAGACCCAGCCCGGTGGCCCTCCGGTGGCAACCCACGCGAGCCTCCCAGACCATCCAGCTGGCCGGCACGAGCCGACGCGGGCCGACGAGGAGCGACGCTGGGCCCACGCTGGGCCGACGCCAGCCGCCACTGCATCGACGCCACGCCACCGCGGGGCCGGGCCGAGGGGCGCGGCTCGGGCCGGGCGAAGGGGGGGGACAGCAAAGGGGGTGTGTGTGAGAATCAGCTCGCCTCCCGGCGAGGGAGGGGCCCAGGTATCGAGGAATGGGCCCCTCGGTGGGGCCGAAAGCGGCTGCAATGCCGCAGATTTCGTGACTCCCCCTTTCCCGATGCCCCCCCTTTCGTCCGGCCCGAGCGGTGCGAGGAGGTGCGGGGCGGCGGGCCGCTCTGATGGCCCCGTTCTCCCTCGCCTGGCGCGCGCGCGCAGCCAACGAAAAGTCAAAACAGTCAGCAGAACACGACACATCGTCGCCAGGCTATGCCCTTACTACTCTTGAAGATAGCAAGAGCAATCGAAGCTAGTCAGAAGAACACGAATCATCGTCGCCAGGCTTTGTTTACTACCCTGGCGTATTCCTCCTGCAGAGGGCCGCGCCCGACTCGAGGCCGTGGCGCGGGGCGTCCGCCCCAACAACACGTCGGGCGCGGGCCCGGCGGCGAAAACGGAACCCGTGGTGGCGGCGGCGCCGAGGCCGCGTGCGGGGCGATGGCGGGCAGCGCTCGCGCGGGGCGCGCTCGTCGTCGTCGTCGGCGTCGGCGGCGTCGGCGTCACCGCCACTCTTGGTCCTGCTGGAAGTGGTCCTGGCCCAGGGTGTCTCCGGCTTTTCTCACGCCACGCTGGAGCCCCCAGGGCGCACGGCGAGGGCGGCGGCAGGCTGCCGCGCGGGTGGTGCGAACAGCTTTCGAGTAGGGGATGGACCAAAGAGTTGACTTGCGGCAGGTTCGTGTCTTGTCGGCCCCGGCGCTGGTTCCTGACACCGCGCGGGTCGTTCCGCCTTGAGCGATCGGCCGTGGCCGAAACGTCAGATCGTTACACATCGCCCGATTCTGGGTCGCCGGCGGCGTTGAACGTTGAGCGCTGGCGGTGGGGTCGCGCGGTTGGTGCGAACAATTTTCGAGTACAGTCGGCCCGTAGCAGAAGGACGTGCGAAATGGATGAACGGGGCCTGGGGCGTCCATCTCAAAGTTTTTCGAGCGGGGCGCGGCCAACGAACGTAGTCAAGGATGGACCGCGGAGGCAAGGATGCAAGGGTACACTTAGGAAAATCACCCATTCTTGCTATGCGGACTGACCGTAGCAATGAACGGGAGGGGGGGAGGGGGCGAACGAGGAAAGAGGGGGGAGGGGGGAGGCGGAGACGGCATGCAACGACGGGGGGAACAGGAAAAGGAGGGGGGTTGTAGGTTGGCTTGGCGCGCGCCCACGCGGGGGCGCGAGGTCCAGGCAGGAGAGAGAAAAGGGCGGCCGCCGACAATGACCGCGACGCGAAAACGCACGACGACGGCCGCGAAACCAAACGACACGACGACGACAGACGAGCGAACGCAGCGACGCGAGCGACGAAAACGAACGGGCGGGACGCCGGAGAACGGGGCGGGACGGGACGGGGGACTGCGGTGCGTGTGGCGCCAGCTCGTGGCTCACAGCAATCAGCCATGCGCGCGAGTGAAACGGATCCCTGCTCGGGCGAAGCGCGGGGCCGGCGCCCGCCCGATGGAAAAAAGCGCTCCGCGGCGGCGCCTGTGATCAGCGCCGGCAACAGGCCGCCAGCGGGAGGACGCCAGGCGCAGCAGCAGCGCCGCCGCTACAGCGGGGCAGTCGGGCCGACATAGCGACACACATAGAGGAGGAGGAGGAGGAGGAGGAGGAGGAGGAGGAGGAGGAGGAGGAGGAGGAGGAAGGAGGAGGACGAGGACGAGGAGGAGGAGGGAGAGGAGATGGGGGAGGAGGAGGAGATGGGGGAGGAGGAGAGGAGATGGGGGAGGAGGAGGGGGAGGAGGAGGAGGAGGAGGAGGAGGAGGGGAGGAGGAGGAGGAGGAGTAGGCGATGGGAGGAGGAGGAGGAGGAGGAGGAGGAGGAGGAGGAGAGGAGGAGGAGGAGGAGGAGGAGGAGATGGGGGAGAAGAGGAAGAGGAGGAGGAGGAGAGGGGAGGAGGAGGAGGGGAGGAGGAGGAGGAGGAGGAGGAGGAGGAGGCGAGGAGATGGGGGAGGAGGAGGAGGAGGGGGAGACAAGCTAGGTGCGCTCGCGTCATATCTGACATCCGGACCCCTCCCTCCCATCCCTCACCATGGCGTAGATCCCCTCTCTACTCGCACAGTCGGATGTCGAGCAGGGCAATGATCCCGAAAGGGTACGCGATGCATTGTAGAGCACGGCATGGCATGGCGTAGAAGTAGAAGAGCACCGCAAAGCGCGGTATGCCACAGCATGGCGTGGCGTGGCGTAGTGACGAATTGCATCACAAAGCTTTGCAACGCAAAGCATGGCATCGCACAGCGGCCCCAAACATGACATTGCATAGCATGGCGTTGAAGATCAAAGCGTAGCATGGCATAGCACGACGTGGCACTTAAGCACTGCATATCACAGCTTCAGCTGAAGGCATGGCATTGCGCAGCGGAACGCAACCGAGCATTGCAATGCATGCCGTGGCATGGCACGGGAAATGACGCCAACGCTGCAGCGGGAGCACGATTCGGAACGAGCGGCAGCGTGGAAATGAGGCCAGCGCTGCAGCGGGAGCACGACTTGGAACGAGCGGAAGCACGGAAATGAGGCCAGCGCTGCAGAGGGAGCACGATTCGGAACGAGCGGGGCCCGAAAATGAGGCCAGCGCCTCAGCGAGCGCAGCATTTTGAACACAAATGCAAGCGAAAACCCAACTCCGGGGAACCCTGTGTGTAAAAAAAAAAAAAAAAACACTACGCGGGGGGGGGCGAACACTCCCAACCCGTCATCAGGGGAAGGAGGAGAGTAGTATTCATATTGAATAATTGTGGCGGGGGAGGAGGAGGAGGAGGAGGAGGGAGGAGGAGGGGGAGGAGGAGGAGGAGGAGGAGGAGGAGGAGGAGGAGGAGGAGGAGGAGGAGGAGGAGAAGGAGGAGGGGGAGGAGGAGGAGGAGGAGGAGGACGAGGCGGGAGGGGCGGCGGAGGGACAGGCCGTCGCCGCCCATGCCGCCGCCCACCCACCGCCGCTGCTGCAGCCGCCGCCGCCGCGTCGGAAGAGACCCCGAAGCAGCTGCCTCGCTCCCTAACCCTAAGGCTCCCTTTTCAAAGGGGCCCAGGGACACAAATCCGCCGACACAGCTGGCGTTTGGAAGGTGAGCGTTTGTTTTTATTCGGCGTTTCAACATTGGGCGGAAAGGGGGGGGGCTGGCTCCAGACCTCTGCTTAGTGCGACTGTTTGCAAGAGTGTGGCCTCTGGAGGAGACTCCACCCGCTCGAAACAGGCGCCCCGAGACAGCCAAGATCTAGTCCTTGGGGGGGAGGGGGGGGGACTTGGGGCCCGCGCCGATCGGCAAAACAATGAATGAAAAAACGATCACCAGTCGGCATGTGGAAGAGGCTTTTCCGTTTGACACGTCTTCGTCGACGTCGTCGTCGCCGTCGCCGTGGACGCTCCCTCTCTTTCCCTGGGCCCGTCGCCGCTCTCCCCTTCTTCTGGGCCCTCCTCCTCAAGATGGCCAGCCAAAACGAAATATAGCAACGTCGCAATTGAGCCGAAGGGAGGCCCCTTCCCTTTGATCCCTTCCCCGCCGGGGGGTGTCCTGGGGGGGTCCTGCCATCCGCCTCGAGTCCCCCAGGAGGCCCCAAGAGGCGCCTAAGGGCCCCCCAGGAGGCTCCAAGAGGCCCCCAAGAGGCCCCCAGGAAGCCCCAAAAGACTCCCAAGAGGCTCCCAAGAGGCCTCCAAGATGCTCACAGAGGGGCCCCCAAAACTGCCCCCCAGAGGCCTCCGAGAGCGCTCCGAAGAGACCCCAAACAGAATCCCTGAGGACTCTGACCCACGTCAGCGTCGTCGTCGTCGTCGTCGTCGTCGTCGTCGTCGTCGTCCCCCTTCAGGGTCGGCGGCACCGGCCGTAGGGTCTTCGCAGTAAGCAAACGCAAGTCTCAAGAGTCCTTACACTGTTGAATATGTTCTGGGATTCCGTCTTCCCCACCAATGCCCATGTAGCCCTGACTATTTCCCGCGCAATCGACGATCTTTTGGGTCTGTGCTTTTCCCTCCTAATTTCTGCCTTCGCGTGGGCCCCACAACTCGCTCCTCCCGCCACTCCTCCAGTCACCGAGCGCGGTCCACTACTCACAAAGTGCCTGCTCGAAAACGCAAGAAGAACAAGTCTTCCTCTGTGTGATGGAGCGTAACTCCCCCGCGGCGGATTTTGCCCATTTCCGAGCACCGACCTACTTTGCGGGTATCAAGGGGCCCAAGGACACACACACACACACACATAAAAAAAAAAATACACACAAATAAAAGGATTCCCCTATATTTTCATATACTTTCGAGGTTTTTGTGTTCCCCCCCCCCACTTCCCATATCTTCCCATACTTTCTGGGGCATCGACGATTCATTGTGTCTGTGTGTGTTTTCCCCTCCTGAGAGTAGCGGGGCGCGCTTGTCGATCCAGTCTTTGCTCAACTTCGGCATCCCGCCCGAGAGGCCATGGGGGCCAGCTCGTGGCCGCCTCCCTGCGCGGCTGCAGGACCACCGGGCCACCCAAGGAATGAGCCGGGCGGGCGCGCCGCGAAGCTCGACGCGGCCGGCACGGGCGCGGAACAGCTGCTGCTCCTGGGGCGTCGCAGATAAGGAAGCGAACTCCATACACCGACGCTTTCTTCCGACCCTGCGCTGAAATTTGCACAGGGACGCGGATTCTGGTGTACACGGGAGCCTGGTGCATACATTGTTGCTTCCCTGGGAAAACGGGAGAAGTATACACCACACCACCCCGACGTCGTCCCCGACCCTCAAAAAAGTCCTGGGAGTGAAAAGCCGCCCGCCACATATGTTCCAGTTTCCGAGCAGAGACTCGCACGCGCAGCGCTCACACGTGCACTGGGCTGCACTGAGCGGGCGCGTTCCCGCTCGGCAGCGGCGCGTCGTTCATGCCGTTCGTCCTCTTCCGCGGCGCGGTAGCACGCCGAACCCCAGCGCGCGTGGCTAAAAAATAGTTTCGCGCCCCGCGGGGTCTATGCAGCAACCATGGGGGATGATCATGTGTTAAACACAAGCTGATGAGGCCCGGGATCCCAACAGCTTCACCTGTGTGAGCAAGATACAAGAAAACAGCTGCCCGATAAGCACCCAGCCCCTGCACCGCGCGAGGCGAATATGAGAATAAACGCCCCATAGGAAAAACACATCACCAAATATGCTGCCCTCGTCTCCGACGCGTCTCCCAGGAGCCCACGAACATGGCGACAGCTGCTCAGCTCGCAGCCATCCAGGGGGCCGCGGGGTCTCTCGGCCAGATTCGCGCGGCCCCCGACTCCGCTGGGCCTCCCGGGAGCCCACGAAAGTGTCGACAAATGCGCAAGTCGCAACTCCCAAGGAATAGCGAGGTCCACCGTGGGTCCGCGTGGTCCCCGACTTCGCTGGACCTCCCAGGAGTCCACGGAACTGGCGACGGTTGCGCAGTTCGCAGCCACCCATAGAAGCAGTGCAGGAGGAGGCAGGAGGCGGGGGGAGGAGAGAAAAATGGAAACTGCAGCGCTCTATTCAAGCCGAGAAACAACCCCCAGCACAGGAGGGTCTTGCGCCGATTCGAACCAATCGACCGCACATTCGAAAAAAGAAATACATTGAAGCTTGCGTCTCCGAATGCCAATTATTGATTCTTGTCGGGGAACCCTGGCAACAAAGACGCCAAACCAAACCAAGGCGGAGATTTTGAATTGCGATCCCATTCTGATTTCATTGTAGAGCTCGGCATATTTGAATGTCTGACTCCCTCCGGCAACGCCTGGCGACATGCCCGGCATGCCAGTAAATCCTACGAGCGACTACAACATCGAGGTCGACGATGCCCGATTCAATTTTCAGCTTGCGGAGCGCGTTGCGCTGCCGCCAGAGGGCAGGGTTACGGGTAAGGAGAGGAAAAGGGAATGGGAATTGGTGAGGAAAGGGGGGAAAAAAGGGACGGGAAGGGGATAGAGGGAAGGGGAAAGGGAGGAGACTTGAAGACATCGGGAACGGGAAACGCAACACGGCGAACGCGATCGCTGGCGCGCAGGCCGACAAGTTACGTCTCCCGCGCTGGCCTCCTGGACAGTCTTGCTGCCCTTGTACAGCTCATACCGCTCGTACGAGAGGCTGCCGTTGCGCTTAGGGTTCTCCTTGCGGCCATGGGCTGACGATGACATCTTCGCCCCATTGGAAGCCTCCCACGTGAGGCCAGAGCAGGTGGGATCGGAGGATCGCACCGCGTTGCCGATGCATGGCCGAAGTACAAGCGACGTTGGGGCGGCGATGTACCAGCGATGCCGCGCGATTGGAAGACGAAAACACTACTTAAACATACACTCTCGAAGGGGGCCCAACGCGGATCCAACAAATCCGTGCGGAGCGCCAAACAAATATGTTCATGCCGTTCGAAATGTACCGGCGATGCCACGCGATCCTCTCGGCCCATCTACCACGCGCCATTGTGGGAGGCCCGGGCCCGAGCGAGTCAAGAGTCAAGAATCACTGGTGGACGGGGGCCTTTGAACGTGTCCAGATCGGGCAGCGTAGCCGATGTACCGGCGCTCTAAGCCCGTCTACCACGCGCCGTTGTGGGAGGCCAAAGGAGCAGGAGGAGGAGGAGGAGGAGGAGGAGGAGGAGGGGGAGGTGGAGGAGGAGGAGGGGGAGGAGGGGGAGGAGGAGCAGGAGGAGCAGGAGGAGGAGGAGGAGGAGGAGGAGGAGGAGGAGGGGGAGGAGGAGGAGGAGGAGGAGGACGACGAGTCTGGAGCCATTCTGGCCCATCTGCCGCGCGCCGTTCCGGGAGGCCTGGGCCCGCACATGTCCAGAATCGCTGTGGGGCCTTGGAGCGTCGGCGGGCAGCAGGAGGCGGGCGCAGTCCACAGCCGGGGAGGCGTAACACTCGGGTTCGGGGCGGTTTGGGGCTGTCTTCGGCCTCCGGGGGCCCTCGCTGGGCCCGGGGACCGTCAAGAAACGACTCAGGACGAAAAACCGCTCCCGGGGAAGTGGTCCAGACCTCCCGGGCCCACGCATCGAACAAATTGGAGCAGCCGGACGTCTGGGAACGAACGACAACCGACCACTGGTGAGGACAACCGTCTGTCCGGAACCCAAGAAACCCAGTGCACCCTGGAGGCACGCGGGGTGTCTCTTGGCATGGATTTCCACTGCAGTGGAGAGAGCGCTCGGTGACTTTCGATCATCCCGAGCCAGGGCGTGCCCCCGGAGCTCCCGCGGCGCCAGCCTGCCCGCGCCCCTGCCTGGGGGAGAGGGGGGCGTATCCGCTGTTTCCGACCTTCTCCGCCTCGACGCTGCGCGCGAGGCCAAAAAAATGTCGCGGGGACAATTCGCCGGCCCAACGGGCCAGAGGCGTGCTAAGATCTCCGGTAACTGCTAAATAATACTTCTACTTCGCGCGCGCGGGGCGGCCCCTGGGGGTCCCCCGACGATGATGATGATGATGATGATGATGATGATGATGATGATGATGATGATGATGATGATGATGATGATGATGATGGTGATGATGATGATGATGATGATGATGATGATGATGGTGATGATGATGAAGATGATGATGACGAGAATGACGACACGAATGACGACGATCATGACGACAATGATGACGACGATAATGACATGCCCAACAACACGTGAAGCAATCCAGTGAAGCCCGAGGGGGCTGGGATGGACAGGCCGGCGACGATTCGGTACCGGGAGAAGGGAGAAGGGAAGCGCATCAGAAGCCTTGAGACAAGAAGGCGAATGATGTTGAGTGGGGAAGAGATGGGAGTCTGAGTACCATTGGTGTCATCTTCGAGATCTCCTGGTGCTTACTTTTAAGTCGGGCCTGTCCCTCTACAGGGGGAATATTCAAACATAGTTAAAAAAATGGTATGGGGACTATTTTTGTTGTATTAACCATTTTGGAATATTTTTGGTGATTTTTTATTCTTCGCCCAAGATCCCCCTGTAGGGAGACAGGCCCGATCTGAGCTTACTTGGCCGCCTATGAAGCCCTATCTGCTCTGGGGCCCTCTGGGGCCTCGCGTGCCCAGAGGACCGACCCGTCCTGGGGCGCGCCCCCAGCCGCGCGTCGGGGCCGGCCCAGCCGCGGCGTGGGAACGCCCCCCAGGGGCCCAGGGTCAAGTCGGGCCGGTCCCCCATACCGGGGGATTCTGGACGAACAATAAAAAATACGCAAAACATATTCCAAAATGGTCCCCCGACATTTTATTTACTATTGTTGAATATCCCCCCTGTAGAAGGACAGGCCCGACTTAAGCCCAGGGGGGGGAGACGAAAAGCCAAGAAACTGACCCACCGAAGCGACAACCCCTCCCCCGCGTTCCTTCTTCCTCCTCCTCCTCCTTCCTCCTCCTCTTCCTCCCTCCTACGTCCTCCCTCCTCCTGTTCCTCCTCTGTCTCCTCCTCCTCTCTCCTCCTCTCCTCCTCCTCCTCCCTCCCCCCCTCCACTCTTCCTCCTCCCCCCCCTTCTAACTCCTCCCTCCTCCCTCCTCCTATTCCTCCTCTATCCTCGCTCCTCCTCGCTCCTCGCTCCTCCTCCTCCTCCTCCTCCTCCTCCTATTCCCTCCTATCTCCCCCATTTCCACTTCTCCATCCTCCTCTTCCTCCTCCTCCTCCTCCTGCTCCTAATCCTCCTCCTCCTCCTCCTCCTCCTCTGACTCTTCTTCCTCCTCTCCCTTCTTCTCGCCCGAAGTGCTGCCTGCTCATGCCAAGGAGGCCTGCAGCTCTGAAGCCACGCGGGCCGCGCAGGGGGCACTGGCCCTCAATGCTCGAGCACAGCTCGGCCCTGCGAGCACTGCACCAGCTTCGACGTGCAGCCGCCCTGCCACCAAGGGGAGTGCTGACTGAGGAAAGGCGGTGCGCTCCTGGCCGCGGCGAGCCTCCCCGCTCTCCGACCTGGGTCAAGGACGGCCCGAAGACCAGAGCCCCTTCGGAGCCCAAAGCGGCCCTGCCTTCGGCGCCTTGGCTGCAGACGCCACCTCTGGAGGTGTGCGCCGTCCTCCTCCTCCTCCTCCTCCTCCTCCTGCTCCTCCTCCTCCTCCTCCTCCTCCTCCTGCTCCTCCTCCTCCTCCTGCTCCTCCTCCTCCTGCTCCTCCTCCTCCTCCTGCTCCCCGACCAGGGCAAGGGGCGACACCACGAGTCCTGCACCCACTCGATCTGCGTGTCCTGGGCCGCCGCCGGACGGCCCCCGGCGCGCGCAGATGCCGCAGGCGGTCGCCGTCGCCACCGGCATCGCCATTGCTCTCGCCGTCGTCGTCGCAGTCGCCGTCGCCGCCGGCGTCGTCGTCGCCGTCGGCGTTGTCGTCCGTGGTACGTCGTCCGTTGCCGTCGAGAGTCGGAGGATGATCGAGGCTTCCGCACGGCTTTTATTACCAGATGCTGGCCGAGGTCGCCGTCGTCGGAGTCGTTGTAGAAAGAAATAGTAAGACGTTTACGCTGTCTACGGGCCCAAGACTCGCAAGGACCGACCCAGCGCTCGAAAACCATTTCGTGAAGAGATTAGGTCCAGAGCTGTGCTCGTGATTTCTCACTGCGTTGCAAATTTCCCTCACTGCCTGATATCGGGATGGGGAGGTCATGAGGAGGCGCAGGAGGCTCTGGCTGTTTTGAAGCTCCTAGGGGGGAGGCAATACGGATCGAAATCCCACCAACTCTTTTGGGTTGAGTGGTTTAGGTGGTTCCTCTTCCAACCCCCCTCTTCCCCTTCTGGGAAGGGTTTGCCCCTCCCCCTGCCCCCCCCACACCGTAACCCTCTCCTTTCCGTCTAATGATTGTCTTGCTTTATGCAGTGACCATTCGACGAAAAGACTCGACAAGACCTCTGAGGCTGAATCTTCCTCCATCTGCATGTGATGGGACCGCTTTCCACCACCACCACCATAAGTTGGAGGGGGGGCCGTGGAGGATGCTGATGATGATGAGGAAGAGGAGGACGAGGAGGAGGAGGAGGAGGAGGAGGACCCCCTCCTTATAGTGGTGGTGGTGGTGGAAAACAAGCCCACCAGCATGGACTCTCCCAATCACCTCCTCTGAGACTAGAAGGGGAGCAGGAGGCCACAGTCTCTGACCTATAGCTGTTCCCCTGATATTTTATTCTACACGTACAATGGCTTGGATTGCATATCTCGATGGTTTTTGAAAGAGCCTGTTATATATGTCCAAGCAAGTTTACTTGCATGGCGTGCCCCTGCCCCCTCCCCCCCTCGCTTCTCCTCAAGCGAATGCTCGCGTGCAAGTGCCTCCACACGTGCAAGTTGTTTGCGGCTTGCTTCAGGTTCAGGCCCCCCCCCCGTCCATGCAAGTAAACTTGCCAGGGTCAACAAAAAACGGGCTCTAAGGTGTTTGGCCCCTGGAGGGGTCCGGGAGTCCCAGGAGGGGTCCGGAAGGTCCTGGGGGAAGTCCGGGAAGGAGTCTCTGAGAAAAGGATCTTGGAACCCTCCTGGGTGACTCTTGGGAGCGTCTGCGGCCGTCATGGGGGCCACCGCACCCTTTGAGTCTGGAGGCGGGGGGGGGGGTCGCAGATCGCCGGGGCGTCCAAGATAGCCTCGGCGAGAAAACACACATCTTTGATTTGACTTGGGTTAGGGGCCCATTTTGGCCTCCTGGGAGGGGGACGCTAATATGGTACCCAATATGTCACCACGAGGCTCCACCAAGAGACCCGAAGAGGTTCCCCCGAGGCACCCAAGACGCTTCAAGAGGGCCCCATGACGACCCCAGAAACCTCTTCCTCCTCATCCTCCTCCTCCTCCTCGTTCTCCCCTTTCTCATTCACCTATTTCTCCTCCTCCTCCCTTCTCTCTCATCCCTCCTCACTTCTCCCCCTCCCCCTGCCCCTCTCCCTACTCCTCCTCCAATTCCTCCTACATCCTCCCCCTCCTGGGGTACCCAGCCCTTGGTTACACTGCATGCTCCTCCACATCCCTGATCAAGGAAGCTCGTCTGGGGAATGTTTCTGGATGTGCTGGTGGGGTTACGATAAGCGTCCAGAATAGAGAGAACAAACTTAAAAACAAACTGTGGAGACGGGGCACGGAAGATAAAGCCGGAGTGTGAATAATGATCGTACTAGGAATATTAATAACAATAATATAAAGACGAAGAAGACGACGGGGGATGAACCTTGGAGATCCCCCCTCCTCCTCCTCCTTCCCCTCCTCCTCCTCCTCCTCCTCCTCCTCCTGTCTTGGGGACTGAGAGAACGAGGACAATGACGAGTGAGGAGGAACAGGACGAGAAGGGGGGGAGGGAGAGATGTGGGAGGGGACGAACCCACTCGGTAGCTGTCTGACCACACTGCGCTGGCGAAGCACCATCGTCGGGCCCCTACGGACAAAAACTTGGGGACAACCCTCCGCTCAGAGACCCAGGGCTCGTGAGGTTCCTGTCCATGAGGGGAAGGAAGAGCATGAGGGAGGACCGCTGAGGATGGCACAGGCAGACGGACACAGACCTGGTCCCACGCTTGCCGCTCCCTCTTGCATGACGTCTCCAGCCGGTACAGCTCCTCTGGCGCCTGACCTGATGCGCAGTCCGCCACCTCGCGACGTCTGTGATCCTGTGACGTGCACGTGCGTCTCCAACTTTGAGCCCGTCACGCTGCTGATTACTGCGACAGTTATGAACAACGACGCACCGTACAATCCACCCGCGCGTGCACTGCGACTGCACGCTCGAGAATTACCAAGCTCATCTCCCTCTGCCCGCACGGTGTGAAACGAACTGATTCCTCGACAACCAGAGGAGCACAGGCGGCCGTGCACGGTCCTCGCCGTCTGGGAGTGGTAACGACGCCATCGCCCACGACGAAGAGAGCAATCATCGCGTGAGGGACTGCGGCACGCACCACTGCAGAAGGCAGCACGGTCGAGAGACAGACAGACTTGATATGACGTGCACGTGTGTGTACACACGCGCACACACAATCACATACTTACAGCGGGTACCCATGCCAGGAAACACCCTGCTCGCCTCCAGGGTGCCCTGGACTTCTTGGGCTTCGAGGTTTTGCGATGGAGATTGCCACATTCCCACACCAGAAATCCATGGACGTCCTGGGGTCGCAGGGTTGGGTTTCTTGTGGAAGGGTTCTGGTGGTCGGGCCTTCACTGTACACACATGTATCGATAAATCTGGATTGAATCCCCGTGCCCCTGAACAGTCGCGAGGACGCCCCCGGACGTGCTGCACGGGAGCTTCGAGGACGACCGAAACGAATGTCATGACAACACAATCTTGGCATGGGGCTCCCGTGGACCACACTCTTGGCCAATGTTTGAAAGAAACGACTCTCTCTTTCCATCCTGCTCCTTCTCGTCGTCGCCATCACTAGTCACTATCCACAACAATAGCATCATCATTTCATCCTCATCACCATCACCACAACCATCACCATGATCACCACGACCATCACCACCAGCATCATCATCGTCCCCACCACCAGCACCACCATCATCATCATCACCATCATCATCATCATCAGCATCATCATCATCACCATCGTCATCATCATCATCACCACCGCCACCACTACCATCACCATCACCATAACCATCACCATCATCATCACCACCAACACCACCACCATCAGTACCACCACCAACACCACCATCATCACTACCACCATCACCATCACCATCACCATCATCATCACCACTATCACCATCATCACCATCACCATCACCATCACTCTCACCGTGACCATCATTACCATCAACATCAACATCAACATCAACATTATCAGCATCAGCTTCATCATCACCACCTCTACCACCAACACCATCATCACCATCACCATCACCATCATCAGCATCAGCATCATCATCACCATCACCATCATCATCATCATCAGCATCAGCATCATCATCAGCATCATCATCAGCATCATCATCACCATCATCATCACCATCATCACCATCACCATCACCATCACCATCACCATCACCATCACCATCACCATCACCATCACCATCACCATCACCATCACCATCGCCATCACCATCACCATCACATCACCATCACCATCGTCATCATCATCATCATCATCATCATCATCATCATCATCATCATCATCATCATCATCATCATCATCATCATCATCATCATCGCCGGGCGCCCTGAATGGCCCGGGCCCCTGCCCAGGCCCTGGCCCCTGGCGCCCCGGCCCCCGGCCCTAGCCTCGGCACCACCCCTGGCCCCAGACCCAGCCCGGCCTCCGATCCCACGCCCGGCTCCGCCCCCGGCCCGAGCCCCCCCCCCCCCGGTGCCCCTGGTTCGAAACGGGAAGGGAGTTTTCCCCCCCCCTGGTTCGAACCAAAGGTGGGTGGGAAGTTCTGCACCCTACCCCCCCCTGGTCCCAACGGGTGGGGGTGGGAGGTTCGCCCCCCCCCCCCCCCCCCGGGTTCGCAGGGGAGGGGGCAATTTTACCCCACCCTATACCGGGTTCGAACCGGGGGGGGGCCTGCAAGTAACGGTGGAAAGCGCTCTTTTCAATGCTTTGCGTTGCAGTTGTTATTGTGCTCCAATTGGGCTGCCCGAATTTTTACTAGGATTCCGCCTGTGAGACGGGAATTCTGTGGAGAAGCTAGGGTGTGAAGCCCACGGTCCTTTCCTCGATCAGAAACAGTTGTTGGCAACGCGTCTTTGTTGTGTTACATGTCTGCTGTGCTGCAACTTGGCTTCCTCAGCTTGGGTAAACGACTCCGCGTATAAGACGGGAATAATGAGACGAGGTTCGGGGAGGGTGTGAATCTTACGGCTCCCCCTTGACAAGACATCCAGATTGGTCGCAGTGAAACTTTCTGTGCGTTGGGATTTCGTGGGCGATGCAGCTTGGCTGTCCGAGATCGAACTTTGGACTCTGCGTGTGAGATGGGAATGGCTTGGTGAGGTTCAGAAAAGGACCCCAAGCACACTGATTTCTCTAGGAAGGTCAAAATACGATGTCTTTTAAATGCAGTTGTTGTTGCGATCCATGCTTGTTTTGCGCTGCAATTCGTATGTCCAAGCTTGGCTCTAGGATTCCGCGTGAGATTCCGCGTGTGAGATGAGAATGGTTCAGAGAGCCAGGGACTGTTATCGAGCTCCAGGTAGACACAACACTGATCTTGCGATGCAGTTCTGTTCCCGCTGCAGCGCAGTCGGCACGTACTCCAGATTTCGTAATAAAAGGGAGAGGGTCTGGACCCTCCAAGGCAAGCCATTTCAGACCCCCCCCCCGTGGGAGAACCCTCCAAAACATCGTCCCCAGACCCCCCCAGGCCCTCCAAGATAGCCTGGAAGAGACCCCCCCCCCGAAATGAGACCCCCCTCCCTTTATTACGAAATCTGGAGTAACCCAAACAGTGCACGCCCCCGAGGCCACAACCTCTCGCAGTCTGTCACGGACTGGCGCTTCCGAGGCCACGGCCCCTGGCAAAAGCACGACGAACGCGCGCGCCCGGCACCGTGACCGGGCTCCCGAGGCCACAGCTTCGTGTGCTCCAGATTTCGTAATAAAGGGAGGGGGGTCTCATTTCGGGGGGGGGTCTCTTCCAGGCTATCTTGGAGGGCCTGGGGGGGTCTGGGGACGATGTTTTGGAGGGTTCTCCCGCGGGGGGGGGGGTCTGAAATGGCTTGTCTTGGAGGATCCAGACCCCCTCCCTTTTATTGCGAAATCTGGAGGATACTGCAACGAGCTTGCGCCCCCGAGGTCCACATCATTCGGAGGCTGCGACTGCAGTCGGACCCAGGCCATAACGACACCCCTCAAGAACATGAGACCTTTCGTCGGCCAACAGACACAGAGAACAGCCAAGGGTGCCCTCCCCAGGATGCACAAGAACGTCCAACAAGAGGGTACCCTCCCCGAATCGACCTCGATCTTCTGCCCCGGTCCGACTGTAACTTACGGCCCCCTCTGCCACAACTCCTTGGGAATTGCGAGAGATTGGCGCTCCCGAGGCCACGCTCCCCAGTAAATTGCTGCGCCTTCGCGTTCCCCAGACCACAACCACTCAAACACTAAAACAGACTCATCAGACGAAGCCAGGGCAAACAGAACATCGGGTGAGGGTAGGTCGAGAAGCTCTGAGATCCGGCGGCTCTGGAGACTGTCTCGGGCGACGCGGCCTTCTCAGAGCGCTCTGGAACGGATTGATCCTCGCCCGAGCCCCATCCGAATTCAGGTCCCCGAGGCCACAACCCATACTAGACTACCTCATGTTCGCGCTGCGGGGGCCACAACCCCTTGCAAATCAAGACGCGTTCGTGCCCCCGAGGCCACGAGTTTACCTGGCGGACGCTGCTCACAGCGCCCCCCCCGTGCAGAGCAGAAAACAACAGAAGACCGACATTTTCTGTGTTGGCATGTGTGTTCGGGGAGCGCTCTTCGACCCCCCCGTCATAGCCAGGGGTGCTCGCGCTCCCGAAGCCGCACACCCGCGCACCGTGCAGTGCAGTGGCCGCGCGCTGCCAAGGCCACCGGCCATCCTTGACTGCTGCAAGCGCGCGCAGCCAGCCAGTCGGCAAGGGGCCCGAACCGACTGCCGATCGCCAACTTGCACTCGACCGGGACGGGAAGGATGCGCGGGAGGGGTGCGAGGGCCTTGGAGCGCCAGATCGGCGCTCTCCGTGCGGAGCGCAGCAGAGTGCCGAAGGGTGCCGAATACCGAGGGGGCAAGGGTGCGAGGGCAGCCTTGGAACGTTGCCCCGTCCTTACTACCATGGTGGACTGTAGACACGAACCAAGCACCCGAGTTGCCGGCCAACCGACCGACAGGAAAACCAGGCCAACCTGCCGACCGAGCGCGGCCACCGTGCAGGCAATCTGGGGGGGGAGGGGGCGGTGGAGACCTTTGCTCACGGTGCCTTCTGCGACGGCCAGCACGCCGTTGTCTGAGTGTGTTTATCTCGCTGCAGCTTTTGCGCAACGATTTGACTAATTGGGCATCGTTGTTTGCCCGCTGCACTTTGTCAGCCAGGTGTGGCCGCCTAGGATTGGGTTGGTCGGCCTCTTGTAAACGGTCCGCCTCGTTCTGCCCGACCTGGCTCGTCTACTCATTGCCGGCACCGCTAACATCCCTGCTCTGGCGGGTTTGCGCTGCTTGGTCTCGCTGGTCTGGCTAGTTTTACCTGCTCTCGCTTCTCTTTGGCGGCGAGCGAGAAGGGAAATGAGAAGGAAAAGGCCTTCTCAGGAGGCGCCGGGACTGCTCAGAAGCCCTCACGCCTTCTGATGAGTTTTTTTTGTTTTCGGGGAAGGCTTAGAAACCTTCTCCGAAGGTCTGGGCACTTCCGAACCTTCTGAGAAGGCCTTCTCCTTCTCACTTTCCCCCTCGCTCGCCGCCGAACTCTGATCTGTCTGCTTCACCTGCACTGTTGGCTTTGCACTACGTCTCGTTCGGTTCAAGGCGAGTGCTGGGCACAGCGCCGCTTCGGGCTGGCTCAGCCTGGTCTGGCTAGCTCGACTGCTTCGGCTGGCAAGCTGGTGGTTTGGCTACCGAGGGTGATCTGCCTGACCTGGCGGTGAGGCTGCTTTGGCTAGTCTGTCTGGCTCAGCAATTCATCGTGCGCTGCGTTCGGTTGTCGAAGCAGAGGAGCACGAGAACGATCAGGAGGAGGAGGAGGAGAAAGGACGCGAGAAAGGAGGAGGAGGAGGAGAAAGAGGAGGAGGAGGAGGAGGAGAAGGAGGAGGAGGAGGAGGAGGAGGAGAAGCAGGAGCAGGAGCAGGAGTGGCTCGCACACAGGGGCGGCGTGCAACAGGAGCCCTCGTCGTGCCTCTCCTTGTCCAGGGCGTCTGCGGGGGCTCCCTCCGGAGAGAC